TATCCCATCGCACGTGCTTCTCACACTTGGGCTATTCTTTCGTCCTTCAGTGGCCACTTGGGTTGCTCCAGCCTTTGCCTATTGTGAATAAATGCTGCTATGAACATGGATATGCAAATATCTCTTTGAAACTCTGCCTTCAATTCCTTTGAGTATATATCTAGAAGTAGGATCCTGTATTATAGGGTAATTCTGTTCTTAATTATTTGAGGAAACTCCATTCTGTTTCCTATAGTGGCTACATGAATTCACTCCCAACAATCACGCCCAAGTCTTCCAGTGTCTTCACATCTTGTACAAATCTTGTGATTTTTTTTGGACAGCCAAAGTGGACAGTGAGAGAGAGATACAGAGAGAAAGGTCTTCCTTTTCCATTGGTTCACCCCATAATGGCTGCTGTGGCCGGCGCGCTGTGCACTGCACTGATCCGAAGCCAGGAGCCAGGTGCTTCTCCTGGTATCTCATGCAGGTGCAGGGCCCAAGCACTTGGGCCATCCTCCACTGCCTTCCCGGGCCACAGCAGAGAGCTGGCCTGGAAGAGGAGCAACCGGGACAGAATCCGGTGCCCCAACCGGGACTAGAACCCAGTGTGCTGGCACCACAGGGGGAGGATTAGCCTAGTGAGCTGTGGCGCCGGCCTTGTCGCTCCCCCTCTTTGTGGAGGAACGACACTAAACCCTGCCTAGGCTTCATATCCGAGTCACGGCACCATTATGTCGCTCCCCCTCTTCGTGGAGGAGCAACACAGGACCCTGCGCTGTTCTTTCGTCTGCTCGGCCCTCCCGGGGTTTGCTGCTGGTTCTTCCCGGGTTGGCTACTATCCCTTCCACCTCCGTGGAAGGGCAGTTCCCCCTGGCCACATTCCCCACTTCCGCAGGGGAGCGGCACACCGCCGGCCGGCTTTCTCGGGGGCTGCACAGGTGTTCCCTCAGATGTTCCCCTTAGATGTTCCCTCGTGCATGCCGTCTCTCTCCTCCTTTATAGTCCTCCTCCGCCAATCCCAACTCGGCTGCCCACACGCCGAGTACGCTGCTCTCCAATCAGGAGCAAGTCCTACAGTTTATTGGTTGAACTGGAGGCAGCTGTGCGGAAGCTGTTTACTTCTCTCCCAGCGCCATATTGTGGGAGAGCAGATGCATAGAATAAGTCTTAATTCCAGTAACTCAGTCCAGTCCGGGCTGCTCCCCACAGGCTTCTATTTTTTTTTTTTTATAGAAGCCATCCTAAGGAGTGTGAAATGATATTTCATTATGATCTGATTTGCAATTTTAAATGATTAACTTCTTTAAAAAAGTCCTAAGGAATAGCTTACAGCACTTTTTCTTATGGACACAGCTGAATGAATTAGCACCCATGAGTATTCCTATGAGATCCTCACCAGATCAAGACATAGAACAGTCCCAGCACCCCAAAATTCTCCCTTGTGCCCCCCATAAATAATCCCCAAAGGTAGCCGCTCTTTGGAGGCATGTACAGTTCTAACCTGACCTCTAGCTGTTGACCCATCCTGCGAATTCCCAGCAATGCCCTTGTGCTGTGTCCTCTCAGTCACAGCAAATGTTGTCATTCTGCATAATCTCCTGCCGAGAGGGCAATCTCAGAACAACATTTAAAGTTCCCCAAGTGCCCACATCCTCCTCAGATTATATCCCCTCTCCTTACATGTCTTCTGATCAAATTCAGCTGTGGCTTACGCTTCTATAACCAAGATTTGTTTGATTCTAGACAGAATTTTAGGAGTTGATGCCTTCATTCAGAGGTGGAATTACATACTAAGCTCATGGGACTGGGGTGGAAAATTGCAATGTCAGTGGATTCCTTGACCACAAGAAGTACGATTGGCAAGCATTCTGGAATCTTCTCACTGGCACCCCTTGCATATTCTTTCTTGAAGGCAGAGCTAAGGGAAAAGTCGAATTATACACAGAGGTGGCTTGGTGAGCGTTTTATCATTTAACACTACTGACAAAGAGCCTGGTACATGTCGAGCTTGGTGCTGGCACTATGTGGGGAGCAACTCGGACTATACTGTTACTGGAATTAAGACTTATTCTATGCATCTGCTCTCCCACAATGTGGCGCTGGGAGAGGAGCGTACAGCTTCTACCCAGCTGCCTCTCACCAGCTTGACAAGCTGCAAGAGCCGCTCCTGATTGGAGGAGAGCGGCGCGCTCGGCGTGTGGGTAGCAGAGCACGGATTGGTGGAGAGGACTATATAGGAGGAGAGAGACGGCATGGTGGTGTGGGTTGGTTGGAGAGTGCGTTGGAGAGTTCGCGGGGAAGTTCGTTACTTCGTTCTTTCTCATTTCTCTCTACTCATTCTTGCTTTGGGAGTTTGCTGTTTACTTATTCTTACTTTACTATAGAAAGGACTTGTAAAAAAGGGAACAACAAGCATCCGGTCCGGTGCGGCTCCTCCGCGTGCGGAGGATGAAGAGTGAAGAAGAGACGGGGCTGTGTTCACGGCCCCTGAAGTGCAGGGAGAAGATGGGCGTGACCACATCACTCGACTCTGAGATGCAGGCCTCAGCCTCCGCGTCCTCTCTGAACCTACTACAGCAGTGCAGGAAGTTCTTCCAAGAGCCAGTTTATTAGGACACAGGTCAGCAAGCTATGATCCCCAAACCCAATCTAGCCCGGTGCCTGTTTATATCTAACCTGGAAGCTAAGAATAGTTTAACCTTCTTAGATGGTTGGAAAAACAAACAAAAGTAGGTGTTTGATGACACGTGAAGATGATACAAGATTCGGACTTCAGTACTCATAAAGTTTATTGGAACACAGCCATGTGTTCCACATATTGTCCGGAGTGGCTTTCATGCTACAGTGACACAGTCGAATAGATGCAGTGGAGAACATACGGAGTGAAAAGCCAACAGTGTTTACTATCTGGTCCTTTACCCCCCAAATCTGCCAACGCCTGCTCTAGAGCAGCACTTTCAGTAGAGCTTCTGCAGTGATGGGAATGTCATCTACTGTCTAACACGTAGCCAGCTGCTACCTATCTGTGGCTGTTGAGTCTTGAAACATGACTAGCGCAACTGGAGAAATTGATTTTCATTAAATAACCACACATGGCCAGAGGTTACCATATTGAATACAGATGCCCAAAGTAAGAAGAAGGGTGTAGGGATTGGGAGATACGAAGCACAGTAGAAGTCAGGGCATTGTACTGAAAGCAGAGGGGTGGGGTCAAAGTTTGCATGAGGAAGAGTGAGCTGCTCTGCCTACCTCTCGCTCACACACTTCCTTCCCAACCCGGACTCCAGGATGCTGGCCCCGGGCAGATCGTGAAACTTACAAAGTTAGACTGTGCAGGACTATACTCTGTAAGGGAGGAATATTCTCTTCTTTAAAAATGCTAGAGGACTCTTTTTCTGGAGAATTTGACCAGCTCAGAAGGAAAGACCTGAAGACTTTGACATTGAGGCTCCCTCACGTCTGGTCACATGAAAGCTCACGGTTAACTAGCCCTCCTCATGGGCACATAGCTCCCAACAAGCTTCAGTCTAATCCTGTCTTTCAATATGAGCCAAGGATCACGATAAGAAAGGACCACAGATAAAATCACAGATAAGAAAGGCACCAAACAGATAAAGAAACTGGGGCAAAGATCCCTGGAAACATCTATTCTATTAAATAGGAGGTCCGTGAAATTGGATGAAAAAGTGGTCTTTCTTTTCCCTAGTTCAGCTTGAATTCAGCATTTCCTACAGTTGTGCGCCGAAGCAGTAGACCACAGTGATATCAGCAGTTTCCGGGACTTCATCACATTGCTGCGCTGAAGTTATTTAGAAATTCCATTTATGCTCATCATGACTTTGAAATGATGGCTGTTATTAGGCAGGCTGCTAATTATAATATTGAAGCACGTGTGCTCGTCTGTGACAGATTTGTTTTTAAAATATTTTGTTTTTAAAATATTTGTTTTAAAATATTTCGATATATAGATGCTTCTCAACTTATGATGGAGTCACACCCCGATAAACCCATTGTTAACTGGAAATGTTACAAATCAGAAATTACACCTGTCAAGTATCCTTGACTAGCAAGCAGTACAGCATGCTGAGAGTATCAGTTCTTTTTTAAATATTTGTTTGTGAAAGACAAGGTCATTGAGAAAACAGAAGGGGAGGGGAGAGTGATCTTCCATCCACTGGTTCACTCTCCAAATGGCTACAACAGCCAGGGCTGGTCCAAGCTGAAGCCAGGAGCCTGGAACTCCATCTGGGTCTCGTATGTGGTTGGCAGGGGCCCAAGTACTTGGGCCATCATCTACTGCCTCCCCAGGAGCATTAGCAGGGAATACATCAGAAGCAGAGCAGCCAGGACTTAACCTGTGCTCCAATATGGGATGCCGCTGACGTGACAGCTTAACAGCTGTGCCATGATGCCAGCCCCACAGTGTCAGTTCCTTGCCTCCTGACCGTGGGGCAGACTGGGAGCTCTGCCCCTGCCACTGATCAGCTTCTCGAGAGGACTGGGGGGCCGGCGCCATGACGCAGGTTAATCCTCCACCTGCGGCGCTGGCATCCCAATGGGCACCGGTTCTAGTCCCAGTTGCTCCTCTTCCAATCCAGCTCTCTGCTATGGCCTGGGAAAGCAGTAGAAGATGGCCCAAATCCTTGGGCCCCTGCACCCATGTGGGGAGACCAGGAAGAAGCACTGGCTCCTGGCTTCGGATCAGTGCAGCTCCAGTTGTTGTGGCCCTTTGGGGAGTGAACCTTCAGATGGAAGACCTTTCTCTCTGTCTCTCCCTCTCACTGTCTGTAACTCTACCTCTCAAATAAATAAATAAATAAAAGAGAGAGAGGGAGGAAGGGAGGGAGGACTGGGCCGCCTAGTGCTAGCCAGCAAAAGATCAAAATTCAAATTTTGAAGGATAGTTTCTATCAAATGCCTATCATCTTCACACCACTCTAAGCCTAAAACTCCTAAGTTGGGGGCCGTCTGTAAGCAGTTTCTTTTCTAACCCTATGCATGGATCTTATCATTTGCAGATGTGGTGCTGGGAAGGTGCCTTTAGGCTCCCGCAGAGTGCAAAGAGGTGTCCAGGGGGCTGGTGTCTGGAACAAAGTGCTTGTCAGGGCTCCACGTGCATGAGGAATGCAGATACTCATCACCAACCCCGTGTGCCACATCTGAAATGTCACAATTCTAAAAGGTAGCTATTACTTCATAGCTTTCATTAGACTTTTCCAGTGCTTCCTTTGTTATTTCAGTGGGACATGTGAAGGGAGGAGAGATGTATAGGGGTGCTCCATCAGTCTGCCCTCGACCAAAAACTCCAGCTTTCTCTTGTAAAAACTGTAAGTGTTGGGGGCCGGCACCATGGCTCACTTGGCTAATCCTCCGGCATCCCATATGGGCGCCGGGTTCTAGTCCCAGTTGCTCCTCTTCCAGCCCAGGTCTCTGTTGTGGCCCGGGGAGGCAGTGGAGGATGGCCCAGGCGCTTGGGCCCTGCACCCGCATGGGAGACCAGGAGGAAGCACCTGGCTCCTGGCTTTGGATTGTCGCAGCACACCAGCCGTGGCAGCCATTAGGGGGGTGAACCAATGGAAGGAAGACCTTTCTCTCTGTCTTTCTAACTCTGCATGTCAAATAAAAAAAAAAAAAAGAAGAAGAAAGAAAGAAAGAAAGACAGACCCCAGGCTGAAAGGCATGGGAAGTAGAGGTAATTGCCTTGAGATTCTGTTTGGGGGAAAAAAAAAAACAGTAAGTGCAAAGAGAGTAGCAAAAATCACCCCCAAGCCTGCTCCCTATTTGGCAAGCATCATCCTAGACAGTGCTGTATGCCCAGGCACATAAACAGACATAGAAACACATGTAAGATAGATAGGTACATAATTTTAAACAAAACAGGATCAAATGATACATTTCAAAGCTCTTTCTCCTGTTGCTGATCAATACATTGTAACTGTCTTCCATATCAGTAGTGGGATGGGAGCAAGTCATTATCTTTACCATCCAGGTAAGGAAAGGGAGACTTAGGTCATTCAGGCCTTGTCCATTTGCATATGTGACAAGGCAGGGATTCTCCGTGCAAACCCTGGAGTGTAGCTGGCCTGAGCAGCAATGCCAGGTGCGTAGATGCTGGTGGGAGATGAAATTCCACCCCCAAAGAGGTCCACACACCAACACCTAGAGCTTGTGTTGCTTTGTGTGGCAAAAGAGACTTGACCAAAGTGAGACGAGGAAATAATCCCGATGGCTCAATAGCATTACAAGGTCATTATTGGGGCAGGGAGCACTGGAGGACGAGAATGGGATTCACAATGAGTGCAGAGATGGAGGAGCAGAACGAGATGGGAGAGGGAGGGTGGGGGAAGAGAGAGAGAGCTGCTATGCTGCTGGCTTTGAGAACAAAACAAGAGGCCATGGCTCAAGGACTGCGTGGAGCCTCTGGAAACTGTATAAGGCAACGGATTCTCTCCTGGAGCCCCCAGGAGCACAGCCCTGCTGCCCCCTTGGCCTCCAGGACCATGAGAGAACACACTGGTGCTGTTTGAAGCACTGAGTTGGTGGTGTTTTGTTACAGCAGCCACAGGACGCTAACACGCACTCAGTCCGTACGAGCTCCTACCAGTGGGTAGAGCGCACCACGTCGTATCAAGCACAAAGTTAATAAGCTCAGTAAATCCAGTCACGACAATAACTGCCACTCGCCTGCCCCACAGGGCTACACTGAGGCGCCTCTGCGTCTCCTGTTTACCTTTCTGTGTCCTAAGCACCTGAGAGCACGTGGGTCCCAGTGAACACAGCTCAGGGCAGAACTTGGCAAGCAGGGCTGGTCCCAGCTCTGCCTCTGTGTGCTGTGCGGCTTAGGTCATCTTGCTGGCCCTCTCGGGGCTTCTTCTGCAGCATCTTGAACATGAAGGAAGGAAGCCAATAACAAGGCCCCTTTGCTGGACACTGAGGATGTGCAATGCATGTGCACGGGCTTGTGGGGCCCCACCCGTGTGAGATGGCGCCTTTGTCTTCTATCAGGAACGCCGAGAGGCCCACAGAGGTCCAGTGACTCATCCTGGCCTCAGAGGTGGAATTTGGCAAGGCTGGGATTTAAAGCCTGGGCTCTTTCTTTCTAATGTGGGGACACAGAGAGACTGGAGATACAGAGAGAGAGAGCTCCCACCTGCTGGTGGCCAAGCCAAAGCCAGAACCAGCAACTCAAGCCAGGTCTCCTACATGGGTGGGGAACCTTCCTATCTGAGCCACCCCAGCTGCTTGCGGGGTACACATTAACCAGGAGGTGGACTAGGAAGTGGAGCTCGGACACGAACCCAGGCATTCTGACATGGCCTACAGCCATCCCAAGTGCATTTTAACTGCTGCGGCAAATGCTCACTCTTTTCAATCCCTTGTGATGAGTCTCTCAACCTTGCACGTGTTCCTATGAGGCCAGTGCCATCCTAACATATTTATGTGGCTCTCGATTTTCTTTGTATGTGATAACTGGGAAGGGGGAGCAGCTGTACAGGGGCCCCAGACCATCCCTGCACCCTCTGGCTTTGCACGGGCGAACTCTGGAAACGGCCCCATCCCTGTGCCCCTGAGAAGCCACGCCTCAGCCTCTCAGAGCCTTGCCTCACCCAGGACCCCTCCCTAGCTCACCTGCCGCTGCAGGCGCTACAGATGTTTAACCAACACCTACCTCCCTCCTTACTCAGCAACAGAATCCAAAGTCCCATTCCTTTGGATGAGTGTGCCCAGTTAGAAATCCCTTCTCCCCACTCCTTTGCAGCTAGAGGAGGATCCGCGACCCAGCTCTGAATAACGGAACAGAAGTAGAACTCTGCACGGGGATGCTGGGAATCTCTGTCTTCCTCATACAAGAGGAGGAGGAACTCAGCCGGTACATGCCACCTTCTCTTTGCCCGTGCTTTCATTCCTTCCTGGAATTAGGTGAGATTTCTGGAAGAAGGGCAGCTATCTTGTGACTATGAGGACAAAAGCCTCCTGCTAAGGGTGGCAAAGCTTCAGTCTTTAGGGATTTCTTTGAGACTTGGCGCCAGCCTCAGCTGCCTCCCTCTGGACTGCCTGTTAAGTGAAATAAATACAATGTTATAAGTTCTCTAAGAACAGTCTTTCTTTTGTCTTGTACCGATGGCATGTGGCCCTAATAAGCGTCTACGGTGACCCAAAAGCAGACCTGGGAGGAGGGATCAGCCATGGCTGTGGTTCGGGACCTGCTGAGCCATCCTTTCCTCCCATCCAAGCTCTGAACGAGAATCCCTTGGTTATCACTCTCCCTGGCCTGCCAGACTCGGGAGCCTGCGATGCTCAGATATCGTTCAGGCTCCTTCACTGTTTCTGCCTGTCTAGCAACGCCACACAGAATGGGGACGCTCTTGCACAGAGCTGGGGTCTCAAGACGGGGCTACAAGCTGGGGATGCTGGCACAGCCTGGTTCAAGTCAGCAAGACCTCCTTCCTCTGACGCTTTCTACTCCTGGTCAGCAGATGACTAAACCGACTTGAGATGCAAAGCAGGGCTAGGCATGGGCCCGGTTATTTGGCTGCATGCAAAAGACGTGGACATAACTGGGGGTGGGGAGAATCAGATTATTGGAATAATATGGGATGACTTACAGAATCATAGACAAAAACCAACTTGGACACAAAAGAAGCCATGGTTCCAGGAGGTTGCCTTGGAGTGATGCCGTGTGGGTCCCGAGCTCAGTTCCAAGTTCACAGGAGGCGGGATGCCATGACTGGCAGTCTTTCCAGATGGGGGAGAAGAGTGGCTTCCCGCCAGCAATCGCCAGTTCTAGTAGCAGAAGAACGGTAAGAGGATATGGTGGTAAAAATTTTAAAAAACCCGCTGTGGACTAAACATAGAACTGGCCATGGGTGTAAGTTTTAGGATAAAGCTGACCTTAATTAAAATCTTAGCTCTACACTCTACTATCTGTCCTTGGTCAGATCAATTGACCTCTTTAAGTGTCCGTTTCCTTGTCCGTGTGTGGTGAGAACAAAACGCGTTTAAACCTGCTAGAATGTCGGCTCCAGGAGGACAGGAGTGTCATGCTTTTTTGCCCCCTCTGAATCCCTAGCACCTAGACCAGCGCAGGTCTGGCCACTGGCGCTGCATCCGTATGCACTGAACGACTGTTGCCCCACAGTGCCTCTTAGGTAGAGAGCTGTGCTGTGGAGAACGCGATGTGGCAGGTACTCGGAGCAGAAGTGAGCATCACTCCTGCCTCACTCTGGGGAGAGGAGAGGAGAGGAGAAGAGAAGGAATCCAGGCAAGAGCCTGGCCCCTAGCTTTGCAGCAAACCGGGCCATCCAGCAGCAAAGAGCAAACTGCGGCCACAGGCAATGAGTGCATTGTTAACAAAACAAAAAGCCATGCGCGCAGTGGGACTTCCCTGGCGGAATGGATGTGTTTTGACTCAATCGGGTTTTCATCCACCGGTCCTGACAAGATGAAACTCTAAGTCCTTTTACTCCTTGGGGCCATTGCAGTCGTAAGAAGCATTAAAGAAAAGGACAAACCTTGAAGAGACTGGGATTTGGGGCCCACGACCTTTAGTTCCACCAGGGACAGCCTGCACATTTATCAAGTTCACCACAGTCAAACCCAGCCCCGTGGTGGCCGCGGCAGCACCGCCTTTCCCTCTCTCGGCATCTCCTTCTCCATCACGCCCCTCGTCAAGTCCATCAGCAGCATGGTCACCACTAGGCCGTAAGTGGTGCTGGGGCTCCGCCCAGGTGCCCTCTGCCAGGCCAGCACACCCACCCCCAGCTACTGCCAGCGTGAGTTGCTCGCAGGCCACAAGTGCCCCTGTGCCGATGGAATCTCCTTAATCTCCTTGCCAGGAGGTGCCTGGGAAGTCCCAGCCTCCCCCTGAACGCCGCCTGCACCCCGACTAGCTGGGATGGACTCATCTCCCGCTCCTCTGCTCAGGCCGGGACCACCCCATGCCCCAGAACTCTCGGTGGGCTCAGGCTGAGGCTGGCTTCCAGCTGACCCTGCATACTTGCCTGGCTTTTCCTCCTGCTTTGCTCGCCTTCTACCCCCAGCTTTCACCTGAGAGGCCCCTCAACAAGTCATATGGACATGAACCCGGTTCAGACTTGGCTCCAAGCGACCCTGTCCTGGGATGCAGGGTCATTGTCCCTGTCCCTGCTCTAGTAGGGGACGTCTAGTAGACACTGTCCCTGCCCATGTTCCCTTCTCGGAGAAGTTCCCGGGGCGCAGGAGGGCGGTGCCCCAGCTGGCCAGCTCCTGCTCACAGGAGCCGTGTTCCTGACTCTGCACCCAGGGCTTCCTTGCTCGCAGCTTGAACTCAGCCATGGCAGGAATAGTTACACCGTGGAGACCGCCAGTGGGAAAATGCTGTTTGCTTCAGAGACCTACTTTTTACATATTTACCAGCTCACCATTGTGCACATGCCAAGTAATTTTTTTTTTTTTTTTTGACAGGCAGAGTGGACAGTGAGAGAGAGAGAGAGAGACAGAGAGAAAGGTCTTCCTTTTGCCGTTGGTTCACCCTCCAATGGCCGCCGCGGCCGGCGCACCGCGCTGATCCGAAGCCAGGAGCCAGGTGCTTCTCCTGGTCTCCCATGGGGTGCAGGGCCCAAGGACTTGGGCCATCCTCCACTGCACTCCCTGGCCACAGCAGAGAGCTGGCCTGAAGAGGGGCAACCAGGACAGAATCCGGTGCCCCGACCGGGACTAGAACCCGGTGTGCCGGCGCCGCTAGGTGGAGGATTAGCCTAGTGAGCCGCGGCGCCGGCCTCACATGCCAAGTAATTCTAATCCTCTGACTACAAACTCGGGAGGCTAAGATGGACTCCTCCCCCAGGGGGATTTACCCCACAGGCTCCAGTGGCATAGAAAGTATGGGGCCCCATGAGAAAAAGTGGCTCAGACCCACAGACGTCTTGTGGGGTTGGGACATCAGTAAGTTGTAGCCAATTGGCCAGGAAAATTGACAAATAATTATTGCTACCATATATTGACTGCTAAGCTAAATGTGGGCTGCACATATATATAAATTCCTAGCATACATTATCTCTTGTGTAGTTCTCTTTAAAAATTTTTTCTGGGTGCCAGTTTGCATCCCAGCTGCTCCGTTTCTGATCCTAACAGCCCAGGAAAATCAGTGGAAGATGGCCCAAGAGTTTGGGCTCCTGCCACCCACGTGGGAGACTCAGATGAAGCTCCTGGCTCCTGGCTTCGGTTTGGCCCAGCGCTGACCACTGCTACTATCCAGGGATGCTTCTAGCAGAGGGAAGATCTCTCTCTTGCTCTTTCTCTCTATCTCCCTGTAGCTCTTGACTTTCAAAATAAATAAATAAATCTTTTACAAAAATATTTTTTCTGTGAACCTTAAAAAAAGTTTGCTTATGTTCATCTACTTGAAAAGCAAAGAGAGAGAGAGAGAGAGAGAACAGATATTCCACCTGTTAGCTTATTCCTAAATGCCCATAACAGCCAGGGCTGGGCTAGGCTGAAGCCAGGAGCCAGGAACTCCATCCTGGTCTCCCACATGGGTGCAGGGGCCCAAGCACTCGGGCCATCCTCTGCTGCCTCTCAGGCACATTAGCAGGGAGCTGGATGAGAGGAAGAGTAGCCTGGACTCAGACCAGCACTAGGGGTTATGGGCCTCCCAAGTGGTGTTCTAACCCACAGCACCACAATGCCTGCCCCCCATATAATCCTTATAGCCCCCTCCCAGTGATGTGATCAGCCCCCTACATCCAGATGGCACAAGCTCAAGGAGGTAGAGATCTTGCCCAAGGCCACGTTGCTCGTGGTGAAGCCCAGGTTCAGTGCCCGGTGTATTAGTCAGCTTCTCGCTACTCTGAAACACCTGAGAGGAGCTCCTTTGGGAAGAGAAGGGTCATTGCAGCGCACAGGTGGAGGTCCCAGGATTGGCGGCCCCGCAGGCCGGCGTCTGGTGGGAAGCTGGTTCACAGCCGGTGCTGGGGGCAGATCGCGTCATGAGGCGGGAAGTGGAGAGAGCAGAGCTAGGCAGAACCTGAGCTCAAATCATCGAAGCCTCCCTCTGAGGACACGCCCCCATGGCCCAAGGACCTCCCCCATGCCCCGCCTCTCAGGTGCCACGTTTAGAGCAGGTCTCCACCCTTAATCAATGAAGCGTTGACAGGGAGATATTGGAGCTGAGACAGCTGCATGAATTTTGGGATGACAAGTCCAACTCAGCTCAGGACACCCCGCCTCCCGGACTCCAGAGCAGTGTTTGCAATCACCCAAGCAGCCCTGGGGGTCTAGACAGGTGCAGCCCACAGACACAGTGACTGCAGACACCGTGACCTTAACCAGGGGAAGGAGAACATGTTCATCAGGATACATTGGCTTCACATTGCAGAAACCAAACTTGAACTAATGTCAGTGAAACGTGGTTCTTCGTTAGCTTAAATCCCTCTCCTAGCAGCAACAAAAGAGGAGCTGGCCTTAAGGCTAAGTAGAAGAAGGAATCCAAAACCAAGCAGTTCCCTCTCCCTCCCTCTCTCCTCTCTCCAGCCCTCTCTTTGCTTCTCCCTGTATCCCAGCCTCCTGCCAAGAAGGGGCTGCAGGGAGCCTGGCCCACCCACTCCAAGCCTCAGCCTCCCCTCCGTCCCTGAGTGCAAGGGTAGCTGTCCAAGTCAGCTGGAGGGTGGTGGGGATTCACACCAGGTGACTCCCCAATCCACGAGGAGGCAGAGATGATAAAGAATGTGGAAAGAGGGACAGCGGCTGAACGGCCTCATCTTTGCCGGTGACTGGCACACTGCACCTGCATGCAGTCCTTCCTGGGAAGCAGGTTATGTGCTGTGGAAGCGCCACAGTGCAGGTCGATGGCACAGAAATCCAAATCTAAGCAGCAGCTGCCCTGTGCCCGTCGGCCACAGCACCTCGTGGATATTTGGTGGCTGGCTGGCCGCTGGCTCTGGGCAAGTCACTTCACTGCTCTGGGTCTCAGTTTCCCCCTAAGACAAGGCTGATCGTGCTCGTGTGGCCAGCAGAGTCGTGGAGCCAGATGACCAAGGTGAATCACCTAGAGCAGCGATGGTACTCAGTCAATGTTAGGCTATTTCTGACCCGGCTAGTGAGGCAGCCCTCGCTCTGCCCCAGGGCTGGAGGCTAATGGGAAATAGATTATATTAAAAATATCTGCACGAGGCCCTAATTCTTTGCTCTGCTAGCGGTTACATAAATCTCAAAGTCATCTCCATCTTTTCCTGCCACCCGGGCTAGCCTCCAGGGCAATGAAACATTGATGTTGTAGCTATACTTATCACCTCTTTCTTCTCCCAGCCAAGCCCTGAACATCATCAATTCTGTTTCCAATAAAAAATTTAACCCTCACCTTTGAGGTCTTCGTCCATCGGTGAAGCACTTCTAGATTCGCCCTTTTCACATGCTCGTTCTAAAGAACGAAAGCAACGTGGAAAAGTACAAAGGATGAAGTTAAAAAGTCAAGTGATCAAGGTCAACGTCGCCAGCGCTAGGTGGTGGGGCTCTCACGTACGAGATGAGCACATCATTTCTGGGGGAGTGTTCTTCCCCCAAACCTATCACCCCAGCCAAATCACGAGGGAACGTCGGCCAGGCCCACAACAAGGGGCGGTCGATAAACGTCCGCCCACTGCTCTCCAGGTGTCAAGGCTGTAGAAGACGAGGGGCAGAGACCACTTGAGGCCAGCGGACATCTGCATGCGGTGTGGGGTCCTGGTTTGGGACCTGGAGTAGAAGGACAGCAGCCGAGAGTGTCAGGCAAGCAGCAGGCTAATTTCTTATGTTTTGTAAATATGCCGTGATGAGGTCAGATGGTGACGCGTAAGGGAGTTGGGGGAGGGGCAAATGGACTTCCTGTCCTGTCTGTGCAGCTCTTCTGGGAATCCACTCTAATTTGAAAATTAAAAGTTTAAAAACAGAAACTAAGAAAAATCCTGAAATAAGCATAATTCAAACAATATGAACGTCATCCTAAACATCTTTCAATATATGTATACAGATAGGTAATCAGAAATATTTTTTTATAAAATTGTTTTGTATTATAATACCCTTTTTAGTTCGGAAGGGTATTTCACTTGGGTTTAATGAACAGATTTTTTAGAGAAAGAATTGGTAAATCTTAGATCGCAATTTCCCCACCAAAATAATTATCAGCTCTTTAAAGATACCTCTGGAAGCGGGGGTGTTTGGGACGCCTGCAGCCCACATCAGAGTGCCCGGTTCAAGTCCTGGCTCTGCTCCTCATTCCAGCTTCCTGCTAAGGTGCACCCTGGGAAGCGGTTGATGACAGCTCGGCTACTTGGGTCCCTGCCCCCCACATGGGAGAGCTGGATTGAGTCCCCAGCTCCCTGCTTCCGTGTGACTCAGCAGGCGTCACACGGTGGGACGTGACGCGTCTGTGTGACGTGTCACACGGTTGGGGAGTGAACCACTGGATGGAAGATCCTGTTTCACTCCCTCTCGCCCCATTCCAAGTTAAAAAAACAGAAAACCTCTCTCTGGAAAACACGAAGAGATCGAGCGGTCATTGTTGTAAACACAAATCTCAGCTGTAGATGGTGCCGGGCTGCAGTGAGACACGGGCACTGCCTCTCCTTTCC